TTTTTGATGTCATCAGCTACCATAAAATAACAAAGTCTTACAGTACCGAAAGATCCAAAAGGTTGCTTACTAGGTTTTACTTGCACTTCACTTTCTTTAAGGGCACACAGTTCATCTAGATTCCCTTGAAGCCAAGTACTGATCCGCTCCATTTTTTTATCTCTTTCAGAGAGCTTTTCCACCAGATCATTTATTTCTTCCATTGTCTCTTTACTACTAGCCACAAAATCCTGAAAGAAATAGCAATTTTTGATGTATATATCTAAATTGCAGCAGAATAATGAACACATTCTGACTTAGTAGTTCATGTTCAAAACCAAAATGTTTTTAGATTGGAGCACTGAAATTCACTCACTCATTGTCAACAAGTGAGGACCAAATCATGGCTGAATCTCTATTAGGTTTCTCGGGCTATAAATCTCACAAGAGAGACTGTCCAGGCAAAACAATGTGTGTACACGGCAAATTTGTGAAGTTCCTCAGAATGGCCTCGAGGAAAATATATTACCTAATGAGAAGGTTTCATGGAAAATTCACTGAACTGAAAATTCACTTGGCTACATGCATTTGACTCAGGCCATGGTCTTTCCAATTACTTGCTATACATCTGAGAGCTGGACAATGAATAAGGATTACATAAAAATAATTGTCTTTGAGCTGTTGGAGAAGAGTACTGAATATCCCATGGATGGCCAAGAGAACAAACATATATGTCTTGAAGAGGGTGCAGTTGGAGTGCTCTTTGTTGGCAAGAATGATGAGGCTTCGCCTCACATACTCCTAGCATGTTGCTAGGAGGGGCTATTCGTTGGAGAGGCACATGATGTTGGGAAGGGTGGAGGGTAAGTAAAGGAGAGGAAGACTGTCAACTAGGTGGATTGACACGGCGACTGCTGTAGTGGCTCTTGTGTGTCAGGAAGTGCAAGGATGCCTCAGGATAGAACAAGGTTCAGGTCTTTTGTTTATAGGGTCGCTATTGAGTCGTACTTGACTCAATGGAGCCCAACAACATGATAATGGGGGCTTTGGTGGCTTAGTGGTAAAGAATTGCCTTCCATGTACACCCATGTTTATTGCGGCTTTGTTCACAATAGCAAGGAGTTGAAAACAACCTAAGAGCCCATCAACAAATGAATAGTTGGAGAGGCTGTGGTATATTCACACAATGGAATACTATGCTGCATTGGAAAACAAGGAACTCATGCAATATTATTCAAAATGGGTGACCCTGGAGGACATTATGCTGAGTGAAATATCTCAGTCACAGAAGGACAAATACTGCATGGTTCCACTGTTGTAAAACAGGACTGGCATCGGGCTTGGGGGGAGACTGAGAAAGATGGTTTCAATAATGTATACTGCATTGAAACAGATGAGGGAGAAAACGGTTTAAAAGGGATATGTGATTAGGTATTTTTGACATGACAGGAGTCCAGAACGAAGGGTGCATAGTGGAGTGGACCTGGGGGGAGGGATTGTAAAACAATGAAATAATTTTTATTTTACTCTTCAAAGAGACGAGTGTACTGGGGAGGGGGAACAGGGAGAAAAGTGCAACAATGAATGAATGGAAATCCAAAGTCTCTGTAAATTTTCATTGAAATTAATAATAAAAAAAATTTTAAAAAAGAATTGCCTGCCAACGCAAAGGTATACAGTTCCAATCCACCAGCAGCTATATGGGATAAAGATGAGCAATCTCCTCTTGTGTGATTTACTGCCTCTGAAAATCTACTGGGTGTTCAGCTGTGTGTCAGTTCTGACTCAATGGTACACACAACAACATCAACAATTGTGATAGTGGTGATGGTGGCACACAATCCAGTTTACCTTCCACAGCACAGAACTGAAGGAGGAATTCAGCATAGTTTATATCTTAAGAAAGAGCTTTGGATTTTTCTTTCATTTCTTAATTGTGATTTTAGCAAGAGTTTACAGAAAGGTTGGGTTTTCATTCCCTCACTGAGGCACATTTTCCAGCCTCTCCCTTCCTCTTCCCTCAGTCCACTTTGCACTGTACCTCTTGTTCTAGATTGTTGTCATACGCATTTAAGAAATAGCTTTGGATTGAGGCTGAGCTTAAGTTTTGAAGATATCGAAAGTACATCATACAAATGCACCAGAAGCACTGAGGGAGAGAGATGGGCAGTCTCCTCCTGTGCAGTTCACTGCCTCTGAAATGCTGCTGGAAGGTCAGCTAGGGGTCAGTTCTATCTTGAAGGCATACAACAACAAACTCATCAACTGTTTTGGTTCTTTTAGACTGTCTGGACTCCAGCAATTTCATGCCCCCAAAACAAAAACAACAGCAAATATAAGACACTAATTTCTCATTGCTATAAAGTCAGAACAGATAGATTCCAATGACTTGGGGTTGGCAGCACAACTCCTCACCCATTTGTCTATGACATTGCTAAAATATTCAATGTTTGGAGTGTTAGATGTAATCTTTAAATATTTAAAAAGTGGGGTTGACTCTATCTGACTTTCAAGTGAGGGTGGCAGTGCCTCTCAGAATAAGTAAGACAATATTGAAAATGAAGTTCAGAACTGACAAGTTTTTCTTAAAACAAAATGAGCTTGGGGGGGGGGGGAATGTCATCTCACTTAAGTTGAAGTAGTAGAAAAAGAAGACAGTTTTCCAAAGTATTAAGAGGTCAGAGTAGCATACAATTCTGGTACACAACAACAACTTCAACAATTGTGGGGGTAGGGGTGGACCATTTTAGAATGTCATGGTCCCACCAGTTCTGTCACTATCACTTTCACAATCGCTTACATACACTTGTGCAGGAGCGCACTTAAGGAGGTGACACTAGCACAACTTACCTTCACTGAATCTTGAAATTCAGACAACAAATGTAAATATTGTGCTAAAATAAAGAGTTTTAGAAATGCAAAGGTTACTGAAACAATTTGAAAATTTTTATAAAAGTAAGGTTATTTGCTTTTATCTTAAAAAAAATTATTTTTATCTGAAATTGTTTACTTCCAGAAATGACAGACTGACTGAATCAAGCTTGCTCTCCTACGGAGAAATGCAAACCCACTGCCATACAGCCAGTTCCCAATCTTTGGAGCCTCCTTTGGGTTTCCAAAGCAAATCCCAAAGACAAGAGATTGCCCATTTTTCTCCATGGACCCACTAGTGGATTTCAATTAATTGCCTGAGAAAGGCACCTTTTGGGTTATCATGCATATTCTATCAGAGTTTTTCTTCACCCAACAAGTGGAAATGAGGAAAACAAAAAAAGAGAGAAAAGGAAAAAAAACAAACCCACAACACACCCAAGTGGAAATGGAACAAAATACATGCAACAAATGTTTACAGGTGTTAAAACCTGGGTAGTAAAGGACTGTGATAACTGAGAGAAGGGGAGAAATGAAGTGAAACACTCTGATCACTCCTGCCTTCTGGAGAGGCACATTCAGCCACAGTATATGGCATGTCCTCTCACACAGAGCGTGGCAGGCTTCACACAGCCACAAAAGCTCATAAAAATATTGGCAAATGAGGAGTTGGAAACAACCTAAATGCCCATCAACAAACGAATGTGTAGAGAAGCTGTGGTATATTCGCACAATGGAATACTATGCTGCATTGAAAAACAAGGAACTCATGCAATATTATTCAAAA